CATCCTCGTCACGGCCGTTGCCAAGGCCAAGCACCCGGTCGCCGTCATCGTCTTCAAGGCAGCACCCGACACGGCGGCCATCTTCTCCGAACACCCTCACATAGAGGGTGGCGTCGCCATCGAACTTGAAGTGCAGGGTGCACCGCCGGCCCAGGCCACGCGCGTTGGCAAACGTCTGCCAGCCGTGGGCCAGGGCCAAATTTCCGGCGACGGAGATCTCCACCGCGACCCAGGAGGCTCTGCTGCAGCAGCCATCCGCCTGAAGCCAGAGCCCGCCAGGGGCACCGGCTGGCAGTTCGCAGGCGAAGAAGCGGGGAAGCTGGAGCCAGTTGCCGGCCGGATCCACCGACCACACGACAAACTCCGGCAACACCTCTGCCGAGTGAAAACATGGATGGGGAGGCTACGCGGCCACGACGCGTCTTCCCCCGCCAATCGAGCGGCCTTCACCGCGCGAAGGACCACCGTTGCGACCACGAGGAGCCACTGCAGGAGTCGTGGGGCGCTTGCGGGGGAAACCCCGGCCGCGCTTGGGCGGAGGAGAGCCAGACCCTTCCTGGTGAGCCTTCCCCTTCTCTGCGGCCGAGAGCCTCTTTGTAGGCGCCATGGGGCATGGCGAGCGGCTGGAGGAAGGAGGAAGAAGAAGCAGGCGGGGAAAGGGGAGATGAGCAACAGGGGCTCGCACCCCTCCACATTTATAGTCCGGAGGACGCCAACCGTCGGCCTCCATGATCGCAGGTAATCATGACCCATTTTGCATGTAGGGACTCATCAAATCGGGCAGTTGCCGAGGCAGCGTGGGGAAGCGGAGACGCCCACGTCCAATCAACTGCCACGCGGCGACCAAGGCCGCGGGCAGTTAGGACCCGCGGCGCTCCGCACTTACCCTTTCGCTTAGCTGCTCAGCCAAGTCCAAGCGTGCCTTGGGCCCGGGGGCTACTGTCAGTGTCGTGGGAATGGGGGTCCCCAGACTTGCCTGCCTGCGGCCTGCGGTGTGGCTCAAGGGGCGGCCCAGTACGGCCCATCATCATCAACTCAAGCTCAAGACCCTCGCGAGGGGCCAAGCCTTGTGGGGCAGACGACGCAAGGCTTCCTCAGGGACGGCCTCACTAGGCAGGCTCACGAGGCGCCAGAGAGATCAAGGCAGGGGTACCTCGTGAGGTGCTCGTGACGCAAGCCATGACGATCGAGACCAGGCGGGCGCCAGGCGAGTGCCAGCCTGCGCGGTATCCTCGTTTCCTCTATGGTGCAAAGGGAGCAAGTGCAGGCGCGGAGTATCGAGGCATCAAGCAAAGGTTACCATATCGGTGCAACGAGACCAAGGCCAGCAGAGCGGCAGGATGGAGGTCACGGTGGAGCCCAAGACGGCGTCATCGCCAGTGCCTTTGGCAGTCGAAGACCAACTTTAGTCAGGATAACTTGTACTAGTTGTTCCCCTTCAAAATGGTCGTTGTTGGCTCCCTTCCCGCTCAATATTTGGGAAGAGGACCAGGGCCTCTAGAAATAGAGATAGCTATCACTGTAGAGAGATCATCGGATCCAGAGATCACTTCATCTAGAGCCTAGAGAGATCCACCCAAGTAGAACACCGCACCAGCTCAAGAACACCTCTCGCGAGGCTGTTCCTCCTCTGTATTGTTCATCATCAGCCCCTGAGGCAATCCACCACACCACAAACTAGAGTAGGGTATTACACCACAACGGTGGCCTGAACTAGTATAAACCTTGCATCCCTTGTGTTGTTCATCGAGTAGCTTAGATTCACAGCGAGGCGTTGGGACGTGGATTGGTAGGGGGAAGATCTTCGTGCGCACCCTAGAGTTCAAACCTTAAGGGTTTTGCTGGAACCCCATATTCGCCAAGAGTAGCTCCGTGCAGAGCATTGAAGACACAGAATATTTGCAAAATACATACGGTTCTGAATGTGACAGACCCGTTGACTAAACTTCTCTCACAAGCAAAACATAATCATACCTTAATACTCTTTGGGTGTTAATCACATAGCGATGTGAACTAGATTATTGACTCTATTAAACCCTTTGGGTGTTGGTCACACGACGATGTGAACTATGGGTGTTAATCATATACAGATATGAATATTTGTGTTAAATCACATGATGATGTGAACTAGATTATTGACTCTAGTGCAAGTGGGAGACTGAAGGAAATATGCCCTAGAGGCAATAATAAAGTTATTATTTATTTCCTTATTTCATGATAAATGTTTATTATTCATGCTAGAATTGTATTAACCGGAAACTTAGTACATGTGTGAATACATAGACAAACAAAGTGTCACTAGTATGCCTCTACTTGACTAGCTCATTGAATCAAAGATGGTTAAGTTTCCTAGCCATAGACATGAGTTGTCATTTGATTAACGGGATCACATCATTGGAGAATGATGTGATTGACTTGACCCATTCTGTTAGCTTAGCACTTGATCATTTAGTATGTTGCTATTGCTTTCTTCATGACTTATACATGTTCCTATGACTATGAGATTATGCAACTCCCGTTTACAAGAGGAACACTTTGTGTGCTACCAAACGTCACAACGTAACTGGGTGATTATAAAGGAGCTCTATAGGTGTCTCCGAAGGTACATGTTGAGTTGGCGTATTTCGAGATTAGGATTTGTCACTCTGATTGTTGGAGAGGTATCCCTGGGCCCTCTCGGTAATGCACATCACTATAAGCCTTGCAAGCAATGTAACTAATGAGTTAGTTGCGGGATGATGCATTACATAACGAGTAAAGAGACTTGCCGGTAACGATATTGAAGTAGGTATTGAGATACCGACGATTGAATCTCGGGCAAGTAACATACCGATGACAAAGCGAACAACGTATGTTGTTATGCGGTTTGACCGATAAAGATCTTCGTAGAATATGTGGGAGCCAATATGAGCATCCAGGTTCCGCTATTGGTTATTGACCGGAGATGTGTCTCGGTCATGTCTATATAGTTCTCGAACCCGTAGGGTCCGCACGCTTAAAGTTTGATGACGGTTATATTATGAGCTTATGGGTTTTGATGTACTGAAGGTAGTTCCGAGTCCCGGATGAGATTGGGGACATGACGAGGAGTCTCGAAATGGTTGAGACGTAAAGATTGATATATTGGACGACTATATTCGGACATCGGAAAGGTTCCGAGTGATTCGGATATTTATCGGAGTGCCGGAGGGTTATCGAAAACCCCCGGGGGACTATTGGGCCTACATGGGCCATAGGGAAGAGGGAAGGCAGCCCACAAGGGGCAGGTGCGCCCCCTCCCTATAGGGGGTCCGAATTGGACTAGGGAGGGGGGCGCGCCGCCCCTTTCCTTCTCCTTTTCCACTCCTTCCTTCCCCCTTCCTTTTCCTAGTTGGACAAGGAAAGAGGGGAATCCTACTCCTACTAGGAGGAGGACTCCTCCCCTCCTTGGTGCGCCCCAAGGCTGGCCGACCTCCCCCCTTGCTCCTTTATATAAGGGGGCAGGGGGCATCTCTAGACACAACAATTGATCCCTTGGATCTCTTAGCCGTGTGCGGTGCCCCCCTCCACAACAATCCACCTCGATAATAGCAATGCTTAGGTGAAGCCCTGCGTCGGTAGAACATCATCATCGTCACCACGCCATCGTGCTGACGGAACTCTCCCTCAAAGCTCGGCTGGATCGGAGTTCGAGGTTCGGTACTTGATCGGTCGGATCGTGAAGACGTACGACTACATCAACCGCGTTGAGCTAACGCTTCCGCTTTCGGTCTACGAGGGTACGTGGACAACACTCTCCCCTCTCGTTGCTATGTATCACCATGATCTTGTGTGTGCGTAGGAATTTTTTTTTAATTACTACGTCCCCCAACAGAGGCCGCCCGCGCGTACGACGCGGCGACGTGGCGCCTCCAGAGGCCTCGCGCGCAGATGAACTTCCATGATGTCTGGACGCGCGAGCAGGCACAGGCCGTCACCCCTCCGCCTCTTCTTATAACAGACCAGGACCGTGAGAAACACCGTCGGCGGCAGCGCCGCCTCCTCATCGCTGAGGAGGATGAGCGAGCCATGGCAGAGTGGCGCCGGCGCTACTCGCAGGACGTCGCCAACGAAAACGCCTTCTGGGCGGAGAGGACGGCAAGGCGCCGCGCGGAGCGGGCGGACAGGCGTCGGCGGAAGGCACTCGCGGAGGCGCAGTGTGATCTCGTTAACGTAGGCGGGGAGTCAGTTCTTCGACTCAGACGATCCTCGTTGGGAGGACGCGTGGCTCTCTACCTCGGACGACACCAGCGAGAATGATGATGACGACTCATAGTAGGTTCTAGTTGCACCGTAGTTTTTATCTAGTTGCAGCGTAGTAGTTTTTATCGTGTTGGACTAGTTTTTTTATCTATCTATGCTATGATGAACTAAGTACGCATTGTGAAATATCTATGTATCATTTTTTTATCTATTTTTAATCTATGTATATGTTTTTTTATATTAGTCCGGAGTGCATATGTTGTTTGTGCGAGAGCGTGCGCAGTATTTTTGCAGCGCCTGCTGGACCTACTCACGCGCGCTAAAGTTTACAGCGGCCGCTGGAGCAATCGCTCGGTGCCGCGCCAAAACAGGCATTCGGCGTGCTGCATATGCTTTTTTAACGCGCCGCGCGTTGGGCGGCTGCTGGAAATGCTCTAAGTTAATATAATTATTTTTTCCACTTCCAGTTTTGTTTGTGTAGAGTTTTTCATCTAGAACTAATACTTGTATATGGAAGTTCAATTGAAGCATATGAATTTCCCCAAAATTGTTTGTGCATATAATTACATAATTAAACAAGCAATTTTCACTTTCATTAGACCCAAACAGCGTTGCTACAGAGATTAATTCAAATTAAATACAGTTGACATGATTCATGCATGGATGAGTTGACCATGAAATTAACAAAAGAATGTTATCCTTCAGCAAAATAAATAATTTCTGAAGAACAGATAGTCGCACATTTGTGCTGCAACTTGTCGAACCTCAAGCCAATTTGCTTACAGTTTGGGTTCGATGTATAGCTTGTGCCTGCACATAGGGCACGTCTTGCTCTCCACGAGGACGCGCTCCAAACAAGCGCCATGGAAGACGTGGGGCTTGCCGCACCCGGGCCACGCGGCGAGGTCGTCGCCCTTGAGCAGCTGCAAGCAGATGGCGCAATCCTCCCCGGCGGCGACGACCCTCCTTCGCTTCGCTGGCCGTTCTCCGGCGTGTGTGTCGTCGATGGCGGCTTCGTCTTCAACATTGGCTTCGTCTTTGTAATGGCCGCACCGCATCGGCACCGGCAGGTGCAGCTCCATGCCTGTGAAGCGCCCGGGCCACGGCTTCTCCGCCATACGCTCCAGTGCGGCGCGCATCCGCTCCACGCGCTCTGGCCTACAGTCCGACCTCCGGAGGATGCCGACGTCGACGAACACCTCGACGCGCGCGGCGCGCGGCAGCACGCTCACCTGCGCTGCCAGGCTCGACCATAGCTCCTGGAGCTGCTCTCTGAAGTCACTGGGGTATATCAGCCGGACAAGAGACGATCCGGCCCACGCCAACGACCTCGCCGTGTGGTCGCCGGTGGCGATGAACCGGAGCAGGTGCGCCTTGGTGTTCCCTCGCGCTACCTCGCCGTCTGATGATGCCGAGAAAGGGGCGTAGCGGTAGAGCACCAGGATCTGCTTGCCGTAGGCTTCTTCTTGGTCCTCCACGGCGGCGACCCGCATGCAGCCGGCCGTGCACCCCGCGGCGGCGAACCACGGCGCCGGGCCTCCAAGAAACCGGCCCTCGGGGACGTACTCCATCTGTACCAGCACGTCGTCGCCGGGGCAGCGCATATCGAGCTCGTCGTCCGCCGTCCCCGGTTCAGGCGGCATTGTAAAAAGGACACCGTGTAACCGAACGACCGCGTGGGCAGCGGAGTCAGCCTCCCGGTCCAGCGAGTCCAGCGAGAACTCCTGGTTCATCAGCGTCGTGGACCGCAGCCTCACGAGGGGCCTGTCTGCCGACAGCACGAACCTCTCCATCTCCTCGCCGGTGTTGGCGTGTACGGCCACGCGCACGCTCTGGCTAGCTCCGACTGCCGCCCGGTCGACGAGCTCGGCGATGGTGACAACCGCCTGCTGGCTGGCGCTCAAGGGAAACCTCGTGGACTCGCCGCTCCTGAGGTCCCTGAACCAACTCTCGGCCTGCGGCCGCAGCGCCATGCCCGATCGACTTCAGGGATTAGGGTTTAGACTTTAGACTTCAATTAGAGAGATCTCGTGGTGTGTTAATGTAAGCGCCATGCCTGCTGCCGTCTTGTGATTATATTGACTGATCTTTTGCCGACTCCGAATTGAGTTCTGGGAGGAATATATCCAAGTTCAAGTCGGTCAACTTTCCGTTATCCAACGCACAAGGCAAATATCAGTTCAACTCAAAATGGACCGAAAGAGACTGGTTTAGGTACTAGTCGGCTGATTTCTAATTTTGCATCAGCCGATTTCCGATCCACCATTCATTTCAGATCTAAGAGCAACTCCAACGCGCCGATTCAAACCGATACATGCTTTGTCTTCTTTTCGTCCATTTGAATCGGCCCAACGGACATGTGCGTCCGCTTTTCCATATCGGTCGGTTTTAGCGACCAACGGGAGGCGAACCCATTTGCGCGCGAAGAAAAATAAAATAAAATGAACCACACGTGACGCAGATAACAAAAATAGAAACTTGATTTACAATAGTTGGCCGGTCAACCGCCTACCAAATTCCACTTAAACTTAATTAAACATTCATAAAAAAAAAGTTGGCGCCCACACGCAACCCTAGACATCGACCTGGCCCTTGCCCTTGCTGTCGTCATCGTCGCCGGTGAGGTTGATGAAGACGGGAGGCGGCCCGACCCAACCGAAGGCGGCTTGATAGGCCGCCAGGGCTGCCTCCTCCGGCATCTACTGCGGCGGAGGCAATGCGGCGACACGGGCGCGCTCCTCCTCTTCCTCCCGCTCCATCTGCATGCGCTGACAAACTCCTGCACCTGGCCGGTCCAGACGTACCTCTCGGCCGGCTCGGGCGCAGGCGTCATCAGGTTTAGCCGCGGCGGCGACGGCGGCACCACACAGTAGCCTGCTACGGAGAGGGCCATGGCCTCCGCCATCTCTGCCTGGTACACGGCCTCCTCCGCTGCTGCCGCTTCGGCCTTCCGTCACTCCTCCTCGATGGAGTTGGCGAAGGCCTCCGCCAGCGCTGCCTGGTCGGCTACCTCGGCTTCCTCCTCCTCTGGCTTGACGACGGGGAGAGGCGGGGGGTTGACGTGGTGGTGCTGCACAACAGCCGCCGTTGCTCCTCATGTTCGAGGGCGAACCAGACCTTCCAATTAGGAGAGTCTTTGGCATACTCGGGCATGCGCCACTGCGCCCGGCGCCTGCACACCTCCTCGTCGTGCGCCCGCTGTGTCCGCGGCACTGCCGACACTGGGATCCGCTGCGGATCGAGGTGCCAGTGGTGTGGCAGTGTGACATCCGGGTACGACAGCAGCTACCTGAACTCCCAGTGCCACCACGCTTGCTGCACCGGGATGTGCAGACGCTGCCAACCTCAGCGGGCACGCGCCAGCGGCGGAGGAGGAGGAGCACGGGAAGATGGGGCGCCGGGGTGCCCTTGCCCTTGCCGCTGCTGGATCTACTGCCGAAGAGCCCCATGGCTAGGGATTGGGTTGTCGCC